ATAGCTATTTTAACCTTATTCTCCATTACCAATAAAGAAACTCTCATATCTCGTGGACGTAGGCACGTTGCCGAACCACGTATATCTTTGTGTTGTGGTTGGTTGTCTCTTTTTTTTTGTTTGTTTATTCTTTCTTATCTCGTGGATTGTTTTTCGTTTCTACAAATTGGTATAAAAGCCTACAAGGTTATTTCGTATTTTTTAGTTTGCTACCACGGTGACAAGAAAAGGGCTCAAGCGTCAAATATGACATTGAGAGGTTCAATGGAAAGAACAATTTTACTCTTTGGCGACGAAGGATGAATGATCTTTTGATACAGTAAGGTCTGGCTAAGGTTTTGCTAGGGGAATTGAAGAAACCAGCAAAGATAGACGATGAAGAGTGGCAAGAGATGGAGGAAAAAACAGTAAGTACGATTCGTTTGAATTTGTCAGTTGACGCATTGCGTTATGTGGCAGATCTCGAAATTGCTCCGGAGGTTTGGACAAAACTCAGGAGTATCTACATGATGAAATTTTTGACGAACAAGTTGTTTTTAAAAAAACAGTTGTATTCTCTTCAGATGGAAGAAGGCACGGATCTGCTTGAACGTCTCAACGAGTTCAACTCGATTATAAGTCAATTAGCAAGCCTTGAGGTCGAAATCAAGGATGAGGACTAGGCGCTACTTCTGTTGGCTTCATTTGCAGGATCATACAATCACCTGGTTACAACTCTACTGTACGGGAATGAGACTCTTGAGACGGACGAAGTCACTACTACTCTTATGTCAAACGAGACAAGGAAGAAGACTAGCAGTATTAAATCTCAAGGAGAATGTTTCTTTGAAAAACACAAAGAGAGTCATGAAAGGGGCAAATCAAATCAAAAGAGGTATGAAAGCAGAACTCGGTCAAAATCAAAAGGGAAGGGCAAGTTTATTTGTTATTACTGCAAAAAGGAAGTCATATGAAGAATGACTACTCAAAAAAAAAAAGAGGATATAAAGAGGATAGAAACAAGAAAAACATTTGATGAAGCTAACGTGGCCGATAGCTCTGACGGAGATGATGAAGATCTTCTCTCTATATCTTCAGGTAAGAATCAATTTACTGATTCTTGGATTTTAGATTCTGGTTGTTCTTTCATATATGTCCAAATATAAATTGGTTTGAAACCTACAAATCATATAGTGGTGGGTCTATTCTAATGGGGAATGATACAGTATACAAAACCATTGGAATAAGAACTATCAAAATCAAGATGTTTGATGAGATAGTACGAATTTTATCAGATGTGAGGCATGTCCCACAATTAAAGAAAAACTTAATATCCTTGGGGGCCCTTGACTCGAATGATTGCAAGTGTACAACAACAGGTGGAGTTATCAAGGTTAGTAAGGGATCTATGGTTGTCATGAAATGTCAAATGGTTGGGAACCTATACAAGTTGATAAGGACAGGGAATACAGTTACATGTAGAGCTTCTGTAATTACAGATGTAAAGTCCAACACAGATGATACAAAATTATGGCATATGCGTTTAGGGCATATGAGTGAACGAGGTATGATGAAACTTCATAAAAAGATATTGCTGAGGGGTGTCCAAGCCTTAAATTGGATTTTTGTAAGTACTGTGTTTTAGGTAAACAGTGCAAGATTAGATTCAGAATTGCAGTTCATACAAGCAAAGATATGCTAGACTATGTACACATTGATGTATGAGGGCCTTCACGAATAAAAATCACTCATTAACTCATTGACGATTACTCAAGAAAGATCTGGGTCTACTTCATGAAATATAAAAGTAAAGCATTTACGAAGTTTAAACAATGGAAAACAAAGGCAGAAAGGAACACATGAAAGAAACTAAAATGCTTGAGATCAGATAATGGAGGGAAGTACAAGTCTAGAGAATTTCAAGAATTTTGTAAAGAAGAGGGGATTGTACGTCACTTTACCGCACCAGAAACTCCTCAACAAAATGGTGTGGCTGAGAGGATGAACATGATTATTCTGGAAAGAGCTCGAAGTATGAGATTGAATGCAGATTTAAAGAAAAGTTTCTTGGCAGAAGCAGTTAACATGACCTGTTTCATCGTTAACAGGTCACCATCTACAACGATTGATTACAAAATTCCAGAGGAGATGTAGACAAGAAAGCCGATAGATTACTCTATGTTGAGGATTTGCAGATGTCTAGCCTATGTCCATGTGCAAAGTGGGCAACGTTCCAAATTAGACTCTAAGTCTAAGAAATGCATCTTTCTCGGTTTTGAGAAGGGAGTGAAGGGATTCAAGCTTTGAGATCCTACTTCACATACGATTGTATTTAGCAGCGATGTTGTGTTTGATGAATCCCACATGGTGAAGTCAATCAACATGCAAGATGACTAAGTGCAAGTAGATGAAAGTGATGGAGAAAGATCGACACTCCAGGTGGAGCTAAAAGAGTCTGAAACACCAAAAGAGGAAGAATCATCTAGCAACATACCAGAACAGCAGCAATCACATGGTGAACCCTACAGTGTGGCAAAAGGCATAAAGCATCGTGTTCACAAAGCCCCTGTGAGTTGAGGACATGGTAGCCTTTGCTCTAACTATTGGTACTGGGGAAATTGACTCCTTCAAAGATGCTTTAAGTGATGCACAGAGTGATAAATGGATGATAGCCATGATGGAGGAGATGGAGTCTCTGAAAAAGAACAAGACTTGGGAGCTTGTCAAGAGGCCCAAGGGAAAGAAAATGATTGGGTGCAAGTTGATCTTTCAGAAAAAAGAAGTAACAACAGAAAAGGAATGTGATAGATTCAAGGCTAGGCTAGTAGCAAACAGTTACACTCAGAAGGAGGGAGTAAACTACAATGAAATATTCTCTTCAGTTGTCGAGCACACTTTAATAAGGCTATTACTTGCTTTAGTAGCCATGTTTGATTTGGAGTTAGAACAACTTGATGTGAAAACATCTTTTCTTCATGGTGATTTGGAGGAACAAATTTTTATGGGGCAACTTGAAGGCTTCAAGGTGCATGGAAAGGAAGATCAAGTTTGTTTGCTCAAGAGATCGCTTTATGGTCTTAAGCAATCTCTTAGGCAGTGGTACAAGCGCTTCGACTCGTTCATGGTACGGATTGGCTATTCAAGAAGTGAGTATAATTGTTGTGTTTATTTTAAAGTTCTTGATGATAATTCCCTTATTCTCTTGATGCTTTGTGTTGATGACATGCTTATCGCTGCCAAGAATGCATATGACATAACCTCTCTCAAGTCTATGTTAAATTCTGAGTTTGATATGAAGGATCTAGGGGCTGCTAATAATATCATTGGTATGGAGATTCATAGAGATAAAAGTACTGGTAAACTTTGGGTAACTTATAAAAGGTATGTTGAAAAGGTGTTGGAGCTTTTCAACATGAAAAAGGCCAAGTCTTAACACTCTATTGACGAGTCATTTCAAGTTATCTGAACGACAACGTCCTACTACGGATGAGGAGATAGAACAGATGTCTCTGGTGCTCTATGCTAGTGCAGTCAGAAGCCTCATGTATCTATGGTTTGTAGCAGGCCGGATTTATCTCATGATGTCAGTGTTGTTAGTCGATACATGAATAATCCTGACAGGGAGCATTGGAATGCAATCAAGTGGATTTTCAGATATTTGAGCGGGACGTCAGATCTCAGAATTATGTTCAGTAAGAAGAGAAGCTCTACAGAACTGGTGGGATATGTCGATTCTGACTATGCTGGTGATTTAGACAAGCGCAGGTCTACTGTAGGGTATGTCTTCATACTAGCATGTGGACTTATTTCATGAAAGGCAATGCTTCAACCCACGATTGCCTTGTTTACGACAGAGGCAGAGTACGTGGTAGCAGTTGAGGCTGCAAAGGAAGCAATCTGGTCGACTGGTTTGGCTCGTGAGTTGGGGGTGGAGCAAGAATGTATTATGCTGCGTTGTGATAGTCAAAGTGTCATAAATCTTGCAAAGAATCAAGTGTTTCATACAAGGACAAAACACATTAATGTGAGATATCACAAGATCAGAGAACTTGTGTCAGAATGAATCATTCACCTGAAGAAAATTCATACGAATGACAACCCTGTATATATACTTATAAAGCCGGTCACCACAGAGAAGTTCAAGCTTTGCTTGGACTTGCTTAATGTCACTCATTGTTGAGAGTGTGGGAAACACCCCATGACAGGTGGGGGTGCAGTCACGTACCTTTGTGGAGGTACGAAGATGGAGACATCTTCAAGTTATCTTCAGGGTGGCTCGACATAATTCAAGCCAAAGTGTAGATTGTTGAGGATTGATGTCTTGTATTCTAAAGAAATAGATCTGTCAAGGTAGAGTCAAAAGGACAACTCCTGTACATGGGATTCGATATATCTGGGACTCGATATATATATCCGTACAAGGGTATTTCGATAATTCATACCATCTATTTAGCACTTAATATATATTGTTGCGATGGGGTTTTTTTTTCGGGTTAAGGGAAAAACGCAGATTGCTTTGTAGTCAGAGAGAACAGAGAGGCGTGAGGAAGATAGCTGTTGTAACCCTATTCTCCATTCCCAGTAAAGAAGCTCTCATCTCCCGTGGACGTAGGCATGTTGCCGAATCACGTATATCTTTACGTTGTGGTTGGTTGTCTCTTTCTTTTGTATTTGTGTTTTTTTTTTTGTCTCGTGGATTGCTTTTTCGGTTCTACAATAAATTTTCAAGAGATTTGTGCTAAATTTAATGGTGATCATTTGAGGTCCTACACACATGTAGGATCATTACTT